CCCAAGGGGCAGGGCTGTGGCATGCTAGGGAAGACTTGACAGGTTTTATGCTTTCATCCCTGCCTCACGTTGATGTCTTGAGTAAGCAGACAGTGAAAACTGAGGCAGAGGTCTACTGCCTGCCTAGGCATTGAAGGCATGCCCCAACATACATACAGAACCTTCAGTAAACACCAGGAGCCTTAGGGTTAAAGATATTTCAGGTTATTTCTTGCCAATCACTAACAGACTACTAAGCTAACCAAAAAGGCTAAACACAAGAAAGAATACAGAATTTACCAGAGTACTTTAGTAACAATGAAAACAGCAACAAACAAATAAAACAACCACCCTGGGTTGGGTGGTATCTGATATACAGAGTTGTGCATAATATTATTTAAAATGTTAAATGCTTATTTAAAAAAATCATGAAATAGACAAAGAGGTAAGAGTATGGCCCCTACACAGGGAAGAAAACAGCTAATGGAAACTGTCTTCTTTTTTTAAAGATTCCACATATAAGTCAGTTCATGTAGTATTTGTCTGTTTGTGTTTGGCTTATGTCATTTAGCATAATGTCCTCCAGGTTCATCTGTCATGTTGCAAGTGACAGAATTTCCTTTTTTCTTATGGCTGAATAATACAGCATTTTCTTTATCCATCATTTGTTGATAGACATGTTTCCATGTCTTGGCTATTTGAATAATGCTGCAGTAAATGTGGGGATGCAGATACCTTTTCAAGGTACTGATTTCATTTCCTTTGGATAAATACCCATAAGTGGAATTGCTGCATCATGTGGTAGTTCTATTTTTAATTTTTTGCAGATCCTCCATAGTGATTGTATCAATTTACATTCCCACCAGCTTTGCACAAGGGTTCCCTTTTCTCTGTACATCCTTGCCAGTACTTGTTATCTCTTGTCTTCTTGATAATATCCATTCTAATAGGGGTGAGGTGATATGATATTTTGATTTACATTACCTTGCTGATGAGTGCACCTTTTTAAGTACCTGTTGGCCATTATCTAAGTCTTCTTTGGAAAAATGTCTATTCCAGTCCATTTTTAAAAATCAGGTTTTTTTACTCTTTAGTTATAGGAGTTCCTTATATATTTTGGATATGAAACCCTTATTAGATACATAATTTGCAAATATTTTCTTCTATTCTGTAGGTTGCCTTTTTGATTTCGTTGATTATTTCTTTTGTTGTATAGAACCTTTTTAATTTGATGTAGGTCCAGTGATTTTACAGTTTGGGGTCTTATATTTAAGTTTTTAATCCATTTTGGCTTAATTTTTATGAATGATAGGGTCCAATTTCATTTTTTGTATGTGAATATCAAGTTTTCCCAGCACCATTTAGTGAAGAGACTATCCTTTCCATATTGAGTCATCTTGGCTCCCTTGTTAAATACTGGTTGACCATATATTCATGGATTTATTTCTGGACTACTGATTCTGTTTCATTTGTCTGTTTCAATGTTGTTAATGTTTTAATGTTGTCTTAATGTTAATTGTTAATACTGTACTGTTTTTATTACTGTATCTTTGTATTATAGCTTGTAATTAGGAAGTGTGATGCGTCCCACTTTTTTTTTTTTTTTTCTCCTCAGGATTGCTTTGATTGTTCAGAGTCTTTTATGGTTCCATATGAAATTTAGGATTGTTTTTACTATTTCTGTAAAAAGTGCCATTGGAATTTTGGTAGGGATTGCATTGAATCTATAGGTGGTTTTGGGTATTACAGACATTTTCATTTTCACTATATTAATTCTTCTGATCCATGAACATGGGCTGTCTTCCCATTTATTTGTATCTTCAGTTTCTTTGATCAGTGTTGAGAAGTTTTTGAAACTAATACAACAAAACACTTTCTTAGGCTCCATTCCTAGAAAGTGATTCAGTTTTGAGAGAGGCCCAAGAACCTGAGTTTGCAGGTGTTTCTGATACACGTGGTCGTGACTGTACTTGGAGAAATACCTCTGTGAGGCTTGTAATATTGCTGTTGGCTTTCTGTGACCAGGGACCCAGCCAGCACGGTCTGTGAACTGACCATTCTGGTGGAGGCCTTGTGGTGGAGGGCTTGGGAGAGCAGGCTCTGGAGTCACATCTTGGCTTGAATGTCATTGTTGACACTGTGGATTCTTGAATAAGCTACTTAACCTTTTGAATCTCAGTTTCATTATGTCTAAAATGGGCAAAAGTAGCAACTACCTTGTTGTTTTATTTATTTTTATTTTTATTTTATTTTATCTTTTACGTTGTTTTACTATGAAGATTCAGTGAACTGAATGAGAAGGGTAAAACATGTAGCACAGAACACCCAGCACATGATGAATACTCAGTAAATGGTAATTAGTTTTCTCCTTCCCCTTCTCTTTTCCTCCTAAATTATTTGGCCAGACCTAACAGTCCCAGATTATTTTAGAGATTCTGGTTCCAAAGGTATCGGATGTTTGTATCTCTTTGGGTATTTTTTGTTGTTCAATAGGAGCATCAAGAGCTTACTCTCTAAGCTGCCTGATTTCTTGCAAACCATAAATCTCTCTTCCTTTTTTCCTTTCGTTAGAGATTGGTAGGTCTCATTTTACCTTCCAAGCCAATGGCCTGCTAATCTCTATAGTATATGTGTTGCTGAAGCGAGCACATGCTAATCTCTATAGAAAGGCAAAAAGGAAGAGCGATTTTTACATTCAGTTGTCAGTGCATTTGTATATATGATCATTCTTAACTCAGAGATTTAAAATGAACAGGATGAAGGATTGTCACTATTATTTGAGCAAGATTCATTGGGCATTTCACTGAGGATTGAGTTGAGGATTGTATTTCCTTTTTATTTCATTGTCCTTTTAATTGTTCTCAGCAGCAATGTGAGATTCTCAGACACCAATCACTATCATGATGTTAAGGTTATAATATTCTCTTGCTTTTTGGGGAACTGAAATGATGATATCTCTGTATGGAATGGAGACAGATAAATGACCATGCTGAGAACCTCACTGCTTGTGCTGGGAATAGAGGCCGATAATAGGCAGACATAAGTCTTGAGGCTCAGAAAATTTCTCCAAGGTACTTGTAATGTTTTAAGTCCCTTAGGAGTAAGCTCCCTGATTCCTAGTGACTTTTCTTTCCTTTTCTTCATCCTTGGTAAGAGATGTATAAACTTCCTTGATTATAGCGTCTCAGACATTTGGTACTGACTAAAATTTCTTATTGGTACCATTAGTGTCCAGGTCTTCCTTTTTTGCAAATGATAGAGGTTTATGAAATAACTATGGAATTTACTCTTCATAATCTTAAATAGTTATGAAGGCATAGTGAAAAGGTCAAACCAGTTCCCATCTTGCATTAGGCAACTTTATGACAAGGCCCTGTAAGTATCAGATAACGATAGCCAGCAGCATCCATTAAGACAATCTCTTTTTTAATTTATTTTTTGTAAAACAAAGTCCAGTTAAGGTAGCATAGCTTGTCTATTATTAAGGAGGCTCCCAGCAAAAGGGATGATGAGACAGAATGGTGCCATTAACCGTGTGCTCCTGTTTTTCATTTTCAGTTAATTGATGTCCTTTGGTCAGTAGTGACACAGGATTAAACTTGTAAAGATTCCCTTTGTATGCAGCGTTGGAGAGGGATTAAAGCAATGAGCCTGCCAGTATTTTAATCACTTCTTTCTTAACTTTGGTCAGAGCTTCTCCACTTTTAATAACTTTGGGTTTAGACTCTTCTGATTTTTCCATATGTCACTAAGCCAGATCATTATAAGCATTTGTTTGGCCTGCATTCTTTCCCTTAAAAGTTGGGTTAGCTCAAGTCAACAATATCAAGTAAAAAGTAGCTTAAGTATCTGCCTGTATGGCTGGATAAAAAGAAAAATATGGTTCCTGCCCTTCAAGGTCTTACACTCAAAGATTGATAAAGACTGATATTGATAGATAACAAAAAGCATATAAGCCACTTTGATAGTGAATTTTATGATATGTGAATTATATTTCAACTTTTAAAAGTACATAGACTTTGAAGCAAAAAATGCATACATAACATTCTAGGGGTGAATACAAATTCTGGAATAGTTACAGAAAGTTAGTAGTGGGAGAACTTGGTCAAAGGACTATTAAAGGGACATTTCTAGTTGTAAATTTATTGAAGAGGATGAATTGTGAGACCCATTTGAAGAGAGAACAGGGAGGTTTTGAAAAGGGTACAATCTGAGCTTCAAGTATACTAGCAAGTAGTGTGTTGGATAAGAATGACTTCAGTGAAAAGAGTCCGTGAATTTGAAAGAAGTGGAGAATGAATGGTATTCATGGAAACTGATCAAGAAGGCAAAAATAATCTGCAACATATATTTTTCTTGGGGGTTATGCTCCTTTGTAAGGGCTTGGTTGCTCTTTTATGCAGAGCTAAAAGGTTTAAAGGTCCCTGACTAGGTCATTTTTTTTTTTTGCTCATGCAAAGCTGTACTCTAAACCCACTCTGGCTCTCTGAGGCATAGGTGAAATGTTGATGTGGTTTTGTGCCTTCTCTGAGCTCTTTGGGTTGTTTCTTATTCCTTAGAAAACTTCTGTCAGTGAATTGATGATGGGAGATGGCCTGTCAGCACAGACCCCACGTGTTTGTGACATTTCAGCTCTGTGAGGCTTGAATGGCAGAGTTCACGGGAAACTAAAGTCAGAGACCTCTTCTAATTGCTTGGGGCTGATGGTGCCTGACCTGAAGCTAGATCTCATTTTCTTTGCTTTTCACTAAAAGCTAGTGTTTGAAGAGGGACCAGTTTTAAGTAATTGAATGTTTTCAGTTTATTAAGGAAGGTATCAGTCCTGGTTAGAAATAATCAACTGACAGCCCATTCTGTTACCTTATGAAAGCCATTACTTCCGCCCTTTGGGAGAGGTAGAAGACTGCAGACCCTGTGAAATGTTTAATTACCACATCTATTATAGACTGTAAATTTCACATCATGAAAAGCCTGACATTGGCATAATTTTTTCCCTATTTTTTTTTTTTTTAATTTTGAAGGAACCTCAGACCAGTTACCCAGCTATATGTCAGTGTGGATGCTAGCACCAAAGATAGCCTGAAGAAAATCGACCGCCCACTCTTCAAGGATTTCTGGCAGAGATTCCTCAACAGCTTAAAAGCCTTGGCAGCAAAGGTAAGAATTATGACATCTTTAAAAGAGAGAAAAACAAGAAGTGGAGAGAGGTGGGTTTTTTCCTTTTCTTTTTAAAATAATAATAATAAAAAAACCGAATAAAACCTTCAACCTTTTTTTAGATTTCCACTTTCATTATTCAATAAATATTTATTGAATTCCTGTTAAGTTTGTAGGGCTCTGCCTTATATGTATAATTTGCCCTTCGTGTATTTAGGGAGAGAAATACACACTCCTGAAGTTAATTAATAAAACATGGCAAAGTGGCAGTTCATACCAACTCTAGAAGAAGTGCCAGCAAATAGTTTATGTTTAAATATGAGGTGAATTTTCTTGAATCTCTAAGACCAAATTTCCTACCCAGTGAGGAACTCAGCTTCACAATGTCTAGATTTCATCTTTTTCTGCCAACATTTGCTCTTTCTTGTGTCTTCTCTTACATCATACTAATTTTCCTATTCTTCTAGACCTCACGTACCTCTGATTCTTCTTTCCCATTAACCCTGTATCTCAAAAAAAAAACAAAAAAAAAAACAAAAAAAAAAAAACAACCCTGTATCTCAGTAGTTGGTATTTTTTGTTAGTTCTGCCTCCCTTCTTTTTCTGTAGCAATTTCCCTTTCCCATTCTCTTTACTTTTGCCCTGCAGTTCTTCACGCTGTACCCAAACATGACAGATAATGAGAATCACTACAGGAGCTTCAAAAATTACAATTTCCTATTCCTAGTGGGATTTGAGAATCTGCATTTTAAACATTCCAACTGACTTTTGACATGCAGGCCACATCTGGGACTCACTCACCATCCCAGAAAACCTCCCTCCCTCTCCTTTGCTCACACTTTGCCATTCCTAATTCATCACTGACTGGCGCCAGGAAGGCAATACTTCCCTGCTTCTGTCAGCATTTCTGCAGATGTGCCCACCACTTTTTCTAAGTCTTTGGTTACCTCCGCAGAGCCTAGGTTGTCCTTTCTTTCCATTTCTTTAACTTGGAGAAGTTCTGGTGTGACCTTCAAGGCTCAGCTTCATTATTACTTCAATTTTGAAGCCTTTTCCAGTGGCAGACTGCTGTCCCTGTCTCCCTTCTTCAGTCTTATATCTATAAACATACATAGTATCTTCTGGGGTTTTTTTGTTTGTTTATTTGATCTTAGATTCTGTCTCCTCAACTGGATTGCTTACTTGTGTCTGAATTCCACACAAAGTCTAGCACAGCACATTTAATGATATTTGGAAGTGTTTCTTAAAAGAATGAATGGGTGGAAACTCAACAGAGCTCTGTAGTGGTAAGATGTACATATACATTTTCTTGATTGTTCAGATAACTCAAACTCCACCTTCCCCTATTTTATGCTTGAGAAGTTAAATCAGTACTTTTTTTTGGCTGTTTGGCGATTAACATTGATTATTTAGGTAATGCACAATAGGCATTTGGTTTCTGATCTATCTTGGATAATTTATAAAGTTGGAAGCTTGGTGCTTCTTTGGTTCCTAAAATCTCCTTTTCTTTAGACTTCACCCTTAGCTATATCACCTTTACTTGTTGCTGAGACAGGAGATACATGGCTTTTAGGTCAGAATGCATGAGATAGAAAGCAAGCAGCAGGGGCTGGCATTACCAGACATATCTGAGACTGTTACCTAAGCTATATTCTAGTCTACACAGTCAGGTTTGGAAGATGAGAAGTGGGCATTAGTAAAATGGCTTAATAACTTCTTTTCTTTTCTTTTGGCCAAAATTTTCCACAAAATGCATTCTTATCTGAAGGTTACAGGCCTTTACATGTCCGATTCAATATTAAGTACTTTGGGTTGACTCATTGAGAGTAATGCTATAACTTGAAGTTCTGCAGTATTTTCTAACCTGTGAGCTTTTTACATATAACATCATTATCATGTCCACGTAACTCTGGTTGGAAAAGTTTCCTTGGGCTATTAAAACTATCTGCTGGCAGATGGGGCACCTGGATGGCTCAGTCGGTTAAGCATCCGTGACTCTGGATTTTGGCTCAGGTCCTGATCTCATGGGTTGTGAGTATGAGCCCTGCATTAGGCTCTGTGCTGGATATGGGGCCTACTTAAAAAAAATGTTAGGGGCCCCTGGGTGGCTTAGTCACTTAAATGTCTGCCTTCAGCTCAGGTGATGATCTCAGGGTCCTGCGTTCGAGCCCCACATTGGGCTGCCTGCTAAGCTGGGAATCTGGTTCTCCTTCTCCTGCTCTCCTTTTTTGTGCTCTCATTCTCTCTCTGTCAAATAAATTAAAAAAAAAAAAAATCTTTGTGATCCCTGGGTGGCTCAGGGGTTTAGCACCTGCCTTTGGCCCAGGGCATGATCCTGGAGTCCCGGAACCGAGTCCCACATCAGGCTCCCTGCATGGAGCCTGCTTCTGCCTCTGCCTGTGTCTCTGCCTCTCTCTCTCTCTCTCTCTCTCTCTCTCTCTCTCTCTCTCTCTCTCTCTGTGTGTCTCATGAATAAATAAATAAAATCTTTTTAAAAAAATCTTAAAAAAATGTTAAACTATCTGCTGGCAGATTAGGGCAACTGCTTTCTAAGCATTTTGTAGTAATTAGAGTTCATGTTTCTTATTGTATTGTTTACGTTGACGTTTAAGAAAGAAGATCTGTGGCAGGAAGCTACTCTTAAAAGTTCTCTCTCTCTCTCTTTTTTTTTTTTTAAATTTTATTTATTTATTCATGAGAGACACACAGAGAGGCAGAGACACAGGGAGAGGGAGAAGCAGGCTCCATGCTGGGAGCCTGATGTGGGACTTGATCCTGGGACTCTAGGATCACACCCTAGGTGGAAGGCAGGTGGTATACCGACCGCTGAGCTACCCAGGGATCCCAGAAGTTTTCTTAAATTAACTCTAGCTGCATTATTTCCTTCTGAATACCTTATATTATTGATACAGTAGATAACTTTAAGAAAGGTCTGCTTTGGTTTAACACTCAAAAATAAAACACTGATGTAACTATACTTACTAGCTAGGGTCAAACAAATTATTTCTGTAATCTGGTATTGTTGAGTTTTTAAATAAAAATGACTTTTCAGATATTTCAACTAGAACATCTCTACTTCTATACTGTTGTCTTTTGTACTTGTTTCAGCTTTTAGTGCTTTAAGTACTTTTTTGTTACTTGTTTTAGGCTTACCGAGGAAAGGCATTAGAAGAGAAAGAATTTCTTGAACTTTATAAACAGAAATTTTTTGTCCCAAGATTTTCAGACTATTTATGAGCTAGTGTAACCCAAAGTAGAAGAAGGTAGGAGGATATTGTTTTTGTTTTTGTTTTACTCTTGGCAAGTATAGTGTTTACGCTCCCAGATCTTCATCCTTTGTCAGAATGTTCTGTTTAAAATGTGAGGGAGAAATATATTAGTACTTGAGTATGTGGCGTTAAGAAGCAATTCCATCAAGATAACACAGCCAAAAATTTGTTAGTTTCAATATCTGTCCACAATAGCTACTTGTCAAACAGTCCTTTTTTGAAAAAAGAGAAATCCATCTTGTACAAGACAGCACTGCCTACCTTTGGCAGTAGCCTTTTATCAGCAATGTGGCCAGATGTGTTTCTGCCAGCATGTTATAATACCAGCTTGTAGATCCAGTAGTATAAGCGATAATATTGATATTCTTGAAACCTCATATTTGAAAAGAAAGACAAAAATAGTTTTCTGTGTTACACTTTCTTGGATATCGCATGTAAACATTAGACTCTTTCTACAGATGTGAGCATGCTCTTACCTGATGTTATTGGAGTTAATGTTGTTTCATTGTTAAGAAGGGCTTATTGTACGTTAATGAGATAGCTTTGTACTGAATATTTAGATAAACCAGTGGCCCACAATTTGCAGATTAAAAAAGCATTTAATATTTGACTTCCTTATCTCTGATCATAAAAACATTATGTGTTCACTATGGAACTTTGAGGGAAGTAAAGAGAAATATAAAGAGGCAAGGAAAGAAATTGCCTCAAGACAACTACTGCTAACGTTTAAAGTATTTCTGTTTAATCCTTTTTGGGGGGTGCATTTTTACATACAGCATTCAATTTTATGTGTTGCTTTTTGTTGTTAAAATCAGGTCATAGTATGTTTCCATGCTGCTGATATTTATTCATGTTAAGGACAGCTTAGTCTTTCATCTCAGTGTGAGATAATAGAAAATATTTATGTATTGGCTCCCATACCCAGTTCTGGGCACAGAACTCCTAGGACATTTGTAATTTTCTAAGCAGTAAGAACAGAAAGAGCATCTCTTGTTCTAGTATTTTGTCTTTGACCCCATACTTAACAGAGGGCTCCTAAAACCCTTGTAGGTTCCTGAGTAGTAAGACCATGAAGACCCTCGTTGTTCTAATGAGGTGACTCTGGGTGGACTCCTAGGTGACTCCTAGACTGGGGCTGGTCATCAGAAAGACCAAGCTGGTCCCACTCCTTTGTCCCCCCCCCCTTCCTAGGGAGGGGCTGGAAGTGGGAGTAAATAATTGATAATACCTATGTGAGGAAGCCTCCATAAAAATCCCAGCAGAAGGTTTGGGGAGCTTCCTGGTTGATGAACATATTCATACCACAAGAGTAACATACCTCCATCCGCGGGGACAGAGGCTCCTGGGCTGGGGCCCTCCCAGATCTTATCCTGTCTCTTTGTGTGTCAGTGTTTCTGTATCCATTAATAAACTAGTAAGTGTGAGTAAGGTTCCCTGAGTTCTGTAAGCTGCTCTAGCAAATTAACTGAATCTGAGGGAGGAAAGTCATAGGGACCTCTGATATATATATGGTCAGAAGCATAGGTGACAATTTAGATTTGTCATTGACATCTAAAGTGTGCTACAGTGACAGAAATGAGTTAAATTATAAAACACCCCTCTAGTGTCACAGAGAATTGCTTGGTGGGAGAAAGCCCTTCACACGTTTGGTGACCAGAAGTGTTCTGTCTGAATTCCTAGTAAGGGAGACACAGGAGAGAACACATTTTTTTCCTAGTCACTCAGTTTCCT